CTAGATTTCTGAAAAAGTGCGAACGTTATATGTGAACGAGCCCATAGAGGATTTATAGTATTGTATAAACCTTCTAGTTATTATTATTTATAGAACGAAGTTGTATTAATAACTAATAAAAACCATTGTTTCCATTGGTGATCAATGATTGTAACGGTTCATATCAAAGACATGTCTCGAATTTCTGTGTATTAGCGACATAATTATATTGAATTAAACTATAATAGTAACATTTAAAAAATTGAAACATATTTTGCAAATGAGTTTTACTATAAATTAATAATGATAATTTTTAAACTGTTTAATAAATAGTAATTATAATAATTGACTGTTCTATAAAAACTAATTCATAATTGTGTAAAATGTGTGATTCAGTAAAAAAGATCAAACATTATGATAAAATTCCGGCAAATATTAGAGAAAAGATCGCAAAATTATATGTGTTTGAGAATTCAGTACATAAATTTAGTATGTTTTTTGTGACAACCGATGATTTGGTCTATGAATTTGGTAGTAATTTTAAACACATTTTGGGAATCACCAACATCTTGACACCCTTTGGGAGTACCTTAACATCACCACAACTGATCCCAGAGTTATGTCATCAAAACATACAATACTTTGTCAATGGATGTGATTTTGTGTTAGCAGTCAATGATATGAATAAAATGTATGGTTGGGGTAATAATACTGTGGCTCAATTGACCCAAATCGATCAAAATGGTCTAAATGTCTACCTACGTTTTATTATTTTTATTGATAAACATTATTCATCAAATGGTGACCTCTATAGACCACCAGGAATGATATCATATTTTAAATATACAACAAATATTAAACAAATAAGTTGTGGTTCATATCACACACTGGCCCTCACAAGTGATGACCGGGTGGTTGCCTGGGGTCGCAATAATTGGGGTCAATGTGGTATTGGAGATAATCGGAGTTGTATTTCTACTCCAATTGAGTTACAATTCACTAATAATTGTAAAATACAATCCGTTTATTGCGATCATAACTCTTCGTTTGCCGTTACATCCAATGGACAGGTCTATAGTTGGGGTAAGAATCAATATAATAGATTGGGACACAATTTGACAACTAATAAAGTATTGAAACCCAAATTGATATCTACCATAAGTGATGTAATGGTTATATCAATCATTTGCTCAAAATTTGGTACATATTTTCACACAACAAATGGTTTATATTTTTGTGGAAAATATTATGAAAATAATAACGAAATCATTGAAAATACTCCAAAACAAATACTTTCAGGGAATAAAATTCAAAAATTACCACAAATTAATTCATACAATGTTGACATTGATATTTGTGTTTTAATAAATAATGAGATATATAAAATATCAAAAGAAAACAAAATTATTAAACAAAATTACAGTAATTTTACCGACTTTTACGCTAATGAATACCAAATCACTTACAATACAATTGATGTAAACACAAGTGATGGTTATTACAACAAGCAATTCATTGAGATGTCAGCCATAGGTTCGGGTGGTTTTGGGACTGTGTTTAAAGTAAAGCATAGATTGGATGATAAGATATATGCTGTCAAAAAAGTACAATTTGGGGGTAAATATAATTATTTATTTGCAATCATATATAAAATTAAATAAATATTTTATAAAATATTTTTATAGATTTATCTGAAGATAAGAAACAAAAAGTTGTAAAAGAAGTTAAAAGTTTGGCAAAACTTGATTCAGAATTTGTGGTCAAATATTACAACTCATGGCTTGAGTCCAATCATCTCTTCATTCAAATGGAATTTTGTTCGCAAAGTCTTCAAACACTTCTCACAGACAAACCCATTGTCTTTCAGAGACAACCCGAAGACCAGATGAATACTTTCGAGTATTTCATTTCATGTAAAATATTCAGAGAACTTTTAGAATGTGTCCAATATATACACGAATCGGTTCCACAAGTAATTCATCGGGATCTCAAACCCGATAATATATTAATTTACCCCAAATTCACTTTTAATCGTTTCATAAAACTGTGTGACTTTGGTTTAGCCACCGATCACGACATTAATAAGCAAACTGCGAGTAACGACCATACGTTAGGTGTGGGCACTTTGCGATATATATCCCCCGAAGTGTTTCATCGCAAGCAATATAACCACAAAACAGACATTTATAGTCTCGCACTTATCGGTGAACAAATCTTTAGTATTGATCCACAAATGTATGTGTTTTTATCAATTATTTTTATCTTTTTATAATTGTTGTTATATTTTATATTTATTTATAGTTCGCATTCGTCTCAAGCAATTGGATCCGAGTTTAATAAATATTATGGTAATCTATACCAAACTTTGCAGTCAATGTTGTCGAGTCCTGACTATAACCAAAGACCTGAGTGTCGGGAAGTGTTGGCCAAACATAACGAGTGGTCTATTGATAAGACTGTTGTCACAAATCATAAAGAATTTAATGAAGTGTTAAATACACTCAAATCTATTGATAATTTAATTTTCTATGAGATTTTATTTCGTAAAACACAATAATTTATCATGGTAGATTGGTATTTAATAAAGGAAACAAAAAAGTGCATAAACATATAAAATAAACTTGATATAAAATGAATTTTAATTATTTAATTATACATAAAAGTATATCTAAATGTACAATTAATTAATTATATTTATAAATTAAAAATGTTTACGGCAATAAAATTTTTTAACTTCATCTCTTGTAAATGTTGACTTTTTAATTACACAAAATTCAATATTTTTTAGTTTAGGACTTCTGGACAACACATGGTTGAAATCATTATCACAAACATCATTGAAATGATGGCATTTAATGACCAGCGTTTGCAGCGCCTGTAGTCTTGACATGTAATCTAAACGTTTGCGAGTAATTGAATACATACAGACCGAGGCGTCCGCCCTACAGTTGTTCACATACTCTGTACATACCGTAAAAAACAAGACAATTTTTGCCGGCAATACTATTCCACATCAAGTTCAAATATGATTCATTGTAGTTTGTAATGGAAATATAAGTTTTAGTTTGTAAGTTTTAGGGGTGAGAGTAATAATATGTAGTTAGTATATATCTTGATTCAGAAAAAACATATTTG